AGGGAAAGAAGAATTAGAGGAAATTTAGTATAAATAATATCATATCTATCTTATCTCTGAGTGTTGAATTAGAGGAAATATATCATATCTAACTTATCTCTGAGTATTGGTTTAACTAGTAGTATAAGTAGTAGTTACGTGGGGGATTGATAATTGCTTGTTGATGTTGAACCCTACACAACCACGCTGGGTTTGAGACCATCCTAGCATTTTCCCCAAACCTGTTCAATGCAAACAGTGCTCTTCCTTCTAGATTCCATGGGTTCTGTCCGTGATTGTTCATCAAGAAACCAGGCCTCTGATGATCTCCTGGTTTTGCAAAACCACCATTCTTGTAATGGGGACTTGAAGTTTTCAAATGCTCATCATCATTTGGCATATCACCTCCATGCAGAAGCATCTTATATCCACCATTCCGAAACAAAGCTAATCTTACTACCACCCTGTATGGCATTACATGAACCCAAGTCAAACACCAGATAAACAACAAAGAACGTATAGTTGGTAATTGGTATTAAATAACAAACGCTTCTTACTTGGTGGCCTCCATAAAAGCAATGAAATTCCATTTCTTCTCCTCACCAAAATAATCGTGAGCTGCAACTTCAACCAACGTTTCCAATTCTTTCAAAGCAGAGATGCACAGCGGGTAAGGAAAAGAGTAAGGCTTTAAAGGGCCGGAGTATTTTGGGGGAGGAGATGTTTCTATTATATGTTCATTGATAGCCGTGATTATGCCAAAAAGAGCAGTTACTGCACAAAATCACCAAGGCGTTTAATAGTACGCAGAAAATCAAAGTACTTTACACTGCACTAAAATAGGAACAATTGGCAATCGATAAACTAGAGAGAATATACTTTACGCAGTTCAGTACCAAATATAAGAACTTAAATATAGAACTCAGATTTCATCACTGGAGCTTAAAATAATTCTTAGCCTGTTTTCTGAGCAAATATAAAATTACTTTTAACCCAAATAAAAAAAATCTGATTATTTGAAGAAGAAATGAAGTCCTATTTATTTTCTAAGCTAACAAGAAGCAGCCAAATGTTACCAAACTTTCACAAAACCTGCTTCCGGTCCTATCTCTGAAGTAGAAAATCGTTCAGGAAGAAGCCATGTCAAACCCTGCACAACATTTCCAATAACCAGATAAGATAACAATATTCTTTTTTTTAAATGGAAAACAACATAATTCCTATTAAACTCCAATATCAGCTTCCACGGTTGGTTTTCAGTCCGTTAATGAGTTACCAGGGGTGATAAAGAAAATCCCCATAAAGCAAGGAAAATAAAGATGATCAACAAATTATTTATTATAGTATTTCAGAAAACAAAAACTTGAAGTATGGAATAAAAATAGATTGCATTAACCAATTGCCACTGACCACTCAAAGCACACACAGACCACCTGATTCTTGTTTTTCCATAAATAACATAAACAATTCCTCTAAAAGCAATTTTCTCAATTTTGAGCTACTATGGACACTTCAAACAATAATATGAGAAACCCACATACCCAAAAAAACGAAAACAACAATTCCTCTAAAAGCAATTTTCTCAATTGTGAGCTACCATGGACACTTCAAACAATAATATGAGAAACCAACATACCCAAAAAAACGAAAACAACCTAATAAGCAAGAAAAACCACTGAATTCTTATAATTATCAAGCATATGAAGAAACCCTTGTAACCAAATAACACAACAACCTAAATAAATTACAAACAAAATTGTATCTTATAATTATCAAGCATATGATGAAACCCTTGTAACCAAATAACACAACAACCTAAATAAATTACAAACAAAATTGTATCTTATAATTATCAAGCATATGAAGAAACCCTTGTAACCAAATAACACAACAACCTAAATAAATTACAAACAAAATTGTTAAATTATCAAACTAAATCATGAAATTGAAACAAGTTTCGTGAACTCACGTTGGCCAGAGATTCCAGGGATTGCACGTAGTCCTTGTTCTCCCTAACCCATCTCTTATAAGCCTCCATTGATTCAAAAGCTTGCTCTTTTACAAAAGAGAAACGAGCGGACAGTGAAACTCAAACCCTAAAATATAAATATCAAATCAGCTTCTTCAGGACCATCTTTTGCTTTTTGGACGAGACCCAGATGACCAAAGATCCAAAAGAGCCGATTACTATTCTCTAGTAAATACTTGCAAGTGAGAAATTGCAGCTGAGAGATAAGAAGAAAGAAGTGCTTGATCTAAATTGGGTTTGTTTGCCAATATTACAGCGAACCAGTCCTTAAATTATAAATGGATATGCTTGTCGTTTTATGTCAAGTCGCAAACTTCAAATTACAAAACCAGTACGTCTGTTAAGTCCTTCAGTATAGTGACATTTTAATATGGAGTAATTCAAAACTTCTTTTTAATTTTTCTCAATTCCAAATTCACATTTCACCCACGTGAATGAATTCTAAAAGGTATATTTATCATTGTTGTTAATTGATGGTTCTTATGGAGGCATATTTCGAAAGCCTTATTATGCATGATTATGATTTTTTATTACAATTTTGATAGATTTTAAATGACTTCTTCGGTAGAATATATTTTTTAAATGGTTTCATCCCTGTTATGTTAGTTTTTAAATGATAATTATATGTATTTAATGTATTATATATTTGATTGAAAAACAATTTGAATTATTAGTATATTTTTATCAAGTTTTCATTAAAACCGTAGAATTTACATATCATGATTTTTGTATTTTGGGTGTATTTTATTGTCATTTATCATCATATTAATCATGAATCCATGATTTTAATTAGAATTTTATTAGATTTTGGATCGGATATTGAATTATTTAAAATTATGCTTATTTCCATGTTATCACCTGACAACCCTTACAATCTAATTATTTTTAAATTTGTGATACTCAAGGTTTTAAAAGGCAAAAATGCGAATTGTAAGTCTCAAGGTGGATCGAGGTGTAAGTCTCGAATAAAACAAAAAAATCTTAAATATGCCATATAAATGATCAAAAAATGAACATAAACACCATCAACTTTAAAATAATTCTCATTCTCATCTTTTAAATCTTCTTCTTTTGTCAGCAAAAGTTTCTTCCTGCCCCCTACGTTAAGAAATGCAACATAAGTTTTAGTGAAATGTGAAAATTATAACAATAAATTAATAACATAATAAATTAGTTAATTATTTATTTCTTGAGGAATAAAAGTAATAATGTTTTTGAGATATTTTGACTATTAACAAAGATTTATTTATTTTATATATTTATGTATTGCCCTATTTACATTCATATTAGTTGAATTATATTAGTTGAATGTGTGATAAGCAAATCGAAAGTCTAAGACAGATGTTCTAAGTCTTTAGATCATGTATGTAATGATAAGAACATGTAAAAAACATGAATCTAAAGATGATAGTCTAAAGAATTTGATCCGCAATCAAGAGAATAAAGTTGGATGCTTTATTCACGTTAAGATTGTTATGTTGTCTACTTTTTAACGGAGACGGTTTGTTTTGATCGTCGGAGGTGGGACTCCATAGGTAGATACATTGATATAGTTCTTAGTGGTGGAATCTATATTAGATCGAACTAAAGTTGAATTGTTTTAATTAATAATTATGTTAGAATAAAACAATTCACTTTTAACGAATTATATGTGATCATCTTAATCTTGATATGAATAATAAACCCGTATGCTTAACTTGTATCCTTTGTTGATCAAAGAGAGACATCTTGACATTATATAAATGTACGCTTACCAGAACATTGGTGGTATGACTATTGTGTTTGTAGATTTATTATTCATAGATAGAGAATCCATAGCTCCTATAAAGAGTCAATGATATCCTCTTATGGTATTATCCGTGGATTGAAAAATACAAGCGTTCGACCATTAAACTACTTTGTGTTATTTAATGGTTTACTATTTGTTTGGTATGAATAGTGGATTTTCTGATTGAGTGATAATGGAACATAAGATAAATATAATCAGGAAGGTAAAACGGAACTTGACCTCAAGTCGATTATGGATATCTTATGGGGATGATACACTAATATAATGAGTTATGGATAGTGCTGAAACTTTGGACGGGCCGCCCGTGACCACCGAAAAGTCTGAATTTTTGCCCAATGACCGAACCCGAACTGCCCAAAAATTTGGACTGCCCGACCCGACCCGAAAATTGCCCATGGACGAGCTTCGGGCAGAGGATGCCTGCCCGTGCCCGGTCGGGCTGTCCGATGCCCGACCGGCTGCCCAAATTTTTTTTTATATTATATTTTTATGTTGTATAAGTAATAAGTATTTGTATAATTACAATGTGTATATTACAATTTGAAATTTGAAATGAACACACGAACTATATAAAAAAAATTACTTCTTCATTGATTTTTAAATTTGTAATTCACGATTGCCTTGTTAAAAACCTTACCAAAAAACCCAATTGGGATAAAAACTTGGTAAGGAAAAAAGAGTGCAATCATTGTGGGACGAATTACAAATTTAACGAACTTACAAAGTCTATACAAGATTACAATAAACACTATACAAATTAGAAATTACAAAGTAAATAAATATTTACAAATTAGAATAATAAAATTTAATTTGAAGCAGAAGGATCGTCTTGAAAATTAAAAGTTAATCTATTAAATTCGTCGATCCATTCTTGGTTTGCCGGTGAGATTGTATCGTGTAAGCGTTGGTCGGAATGGTCCCAATCCTTAATGCACACCAAAGCTTCAACAATATCCTGCTGCAATGCGTTTCTCCGTTCTTCAAGTATTCGGCCGGTTGTACTGAATGCTTGTTCGGCTGCAACAGTTGAGACTGGGATCGAAAAAATATCCATTGCTATTCGTGTTAGGATCGGCCAAGTTAATGCTCGTGCTCTCCACCACTCAACCAAATCAAACATTTCACTACTGTCTATAACTAAGCCCTCACTCAGGTACGCCATTAACTCGTTGAATCCGCCGCCACCTCTTGATGAAGATCCACTTCCACTCCCAGATTCTTCTTGACCTTGACTCGTCGTCATCTTCTTCTTCTTCTTCGTAGACAACCCGAAAACATTCAAGAATGATTGCGGATTGTCGTCTCGTTGTTGCGGTTGTTCAACACGAGGTGTGTTTCTAAACCTACTTTCGTAAGAGATATATAGAGAATATATTTTTTCCTTTATAATAGGAAATTGATCAGTAGTGTCTATAGCTAAAAATTCACCTAAGTTATCTAATCCACTTTCTAAAC